TCCTGGGAAACTTCTTATTTCCTTTCATTTTTCTCAGAAGCACCAACTACATCCCAGGTGCAGTGGTAGACTCTAGGGACACAGAGATGAATAAGACACAATTCCTCCTCCTTTGAGTTCAGAGAAGAGAATACAGGGCAGCTGATTGTGACTCAAACAGGAAAGGAAGCCACTAGTTAGTATTTTCCTGGAGGAGGTGATGTCTAAGCTGAATCAGAAGAAAGGGAAAACAAACAAACAAACAAACAAACACTAATCTTAAAACTGGAGAAAGAAGATGTTGTAAGCCCAGGAGATTGCTGGAGCAAAGATGGGGTGCCTGAAACAGCATCTGTATTGAGGAAACTACAGAAGTTTGAGAACATCAAGTGCAGGGGGGAGAACCCAGCAAAGAGGCTGGAGAAGCAGGTGCTGCGTCTGGATGCAGAAGCAGGAGCACAAGAGCCTCTGACAAAGCTAAGGACCACGTCTTCGCAGAAGGTGGAGCGAAACACTGTTTCAAAGAGGAGTATGACGGAAGCACAGCAGCATTTTAATTTGGAGGAATTGTTTTGTCTTAGAAACTAGCAATACAGCATTTTTATGCAGAAAAAAAAAGTAGAAAATATGAGGTAAGTGAAAAAGGAGAAGGAAGACCAGGCGAGGAGGGAAAAAGACAAACACTTGTAATCCATACACTCCTAAACAAATAATTCTTAAATTTTGTGTCTAGACCTCCAGATTCTTTGCTTATTAAATTATCATTGACCACATGGTCTCAGCACGCATGGAATCTTTCAATGTCCCAGGCTAACCATGAATCAAAAGGGAAATGCTCCAAGTGTTGATATGGTCTGTGTAGAGTTGTCATAGCTGCGTCATCCTGTTCTTGCTTCTCAGCCCTACCGTTACCATGACAACTTCCCCAGCAAAAGGTGAGGTTGATGAAGATGCCTTGATCCAGAAGCTTTGCATTGCTGTTGGAGGCTTCAAAATTTTTAATATCAGAAAAACCAGAGCCAACCTTTGTGCACACTCTGCCATACAGCAGAAATCTTAAATGACCTAAATTTCATAGCTCAGTGTAACACTTCCTTATGTATAGACTTATGGGGTCATAATTGGCCCAATCCATTGATACTTCTGGACCTCGGAAGAATCTAGCAGTGAACAAAAGTAAAAGAGCAACATCACTCTGTATATATTTACCACTCATTTATTTTAGAGGGAAAGAGCAAGAGAATCCTCAACGGATTCCCTGCTGAGTGCAGATCCTGACTTGGGGCTCAATTCCAAGACCCTGAGATCATGACCTGAGCCAAAATCAAGAGTCAGACGTTTAACTCAATTAGCCACCCAGGTGCTAAGAGGTAGTAGATGCCTCAGTTCTCTCAAACACTGCAGGACTCTTAAACTTTCATTTGATGAGTACTTGACCATCGACTTTCTCCTCTGCATCCTAAATCTCATTAATTCTACCTTCTTTGATTCAATTTCTCTAACTAGGCTGCAAAATTCTAACATCCCATCGATGTCTGCAAGACCTCTAACTGCATGGGGCTCTAAACTCTGTACCTTTGTCTGTTGTAAATTGTTAGTAAAACATTTGGCAACATTCTATTTGCTCAGACTTTCCTTTCTCAGTGAGGGCTTTTGTAACCATTGGATTTAAAGCTTAAAATCTCCACCAGCACTTTTCATTACTCTTCCCTTTCTCCCCCCATGCACCATTGGGCTTACTGCCACCAGAATTGGTATGAGCACTGCTCTCCTAGGGCTGCCATAACAAATTACAACAAACTCGGTGGCTTAAAACAACAAATTTATTTTCTTACCATTCTGGAGGCCAGAAGTTCAAAATCAAGGTGTCAGCAGGGCCACTTTTCCTTTGAAAGCCCAAGGGGAGAATCAGTCCTTGCTCTGCCAGTTTCTGGTGGCTGCAAGCATCCCTTGGCTTGTGGATGCTCAAGTCCATGCTACATCCATCTTCGCATGGCCTTCACCTCTGCTTTCTCCCCTTCTCTGTCTTACAACATACTGGTCATTGGATTTAGGGCCCATACAGATAATCAAAGATGGCCTCACTTTGAGATCCTTAACTTTAAAAGATTTTATTTATTTATTTGACATAGAGAGAGAGAACATAAGCAGGGTGAGAGGCAGGCAGAGGGAGCTCAGCAGGGAGCCCAATGTGGGGCTTGATCCCAGGACCCTGGGATCATGACCTGAGCTGAAGGCAGATGCTTAACATGAGCCACCCAGACACCCCGAGATCCTTAACTTAATTACATTTCCAAGGCCCCTTTTCCAAAAAAGTTCATAATCAAAAATTCCAGCTTGAAGTTGGGACAAATCTTTCTGGGAGCTGCCATTTAACCCACTACATTACATATACTATGTATGGATTTTGTATGTATAATTACATTGTCTGCCATCTGTTTCTAAATACAAGTTTTTATATTTTGTTATAAAAATACATTTTCATTGATTTGATGAACTCCATTATGAGTTGGTTGGTCAAAAATGAATCCTGAGGCTTGGTCTCCAAGCAAACTGCTAAAACTGACTACCAGAGTCTGCAAGGTGGCTACCTATCCCCATGCAGTCTTGTTCAAAATGTCTGCCTTGCTTTATGTGGCTCACTTTACAAATAATGCTCTTTTGGGTGCATTTATCCGTTACACTGCTATACATCATCTTCCCTCTGTTGAGGCTGATTCCTACGTTGGTCTGATCTGTACCCTCTAATTTGCTTAGCTTATGCATTTAGGTGTTCCTCTCACAAGGTCAAGATTACAGATCTGATTCCCATCTGCTCTTTGAAACACAATTGAATGGAATTTGTAAAGAAATCCTACTTCTACACTCTCTCTCACCCAGACACTTAGGAGAAATAATAAAGAAACAAACAGCCCTTATATCTGGAGTCTCCCAGACTGTGGGATGTGGAGCTCAGTCAGTATAGGATGGTTTTGGAGATCTACAGACACTTTGCAGCTTGTTTCCCCCAATAAACTGTAACCGAGTTTTGGCCTGCCTAGATCTTACACTGGCCCAGATCTTGAACAACTAAAGTCTTTGGAATCATGTCAGTTTATCCTCATAACCATTGTGGAAGGGATGCAAAGCAGGCATGATTTCTGTTTTACATATGAAGAGTCAGTGTTTCAGAGAGTTTAGATGGTTTGTCCCACGTCACATGACAAAGATATATCCAGAACTAGAACTCAGATGGTCAAGCAGCCAGTTGGTAATTTTTATCCCCCATTCACTACTTCCTGTTTTTCAGCGCATGCATTTCATAGCCCTATTACACTGCAACATTGTGACTGGTTTATCTGTATTAGCTCAGAAAATAATCACTTTCCCTTATATGTTTGGTTTTAAGTGGAAATATATGTATAATCACTTCTTTACTGCATCAACAAACCAAAATATGCTCCAGGAGCAAACATTAAATCATTTCCATTATGAGAGTCATTGCCTTTTGTATGTTTCTTCTCTAAAGTAAGGTAGGCTTGCATTTTATCTTTGTTTCTTTGCTTTCCTAAGGAATACATTTCACATTTGTCCATTTTTATTTTATTAAGTTTCCCCAGGTATAGCAATTGATGATTCTAACCAAACCCCTACACACTTAAGTCTGCTGAAGAAGCATGTTTTCTCTCTAGAAAGATCCCCTGAGCTAAGGACAGACCCAGGGCTCAGAGCCAGGAAACCTGGGCTTGACCTCTGCTTCCCACTGTCTGTGATTTTCTGTGATTGTACGTATTTACTTCCTGAGCTTCTGTTCCACAAGTTTGTAAAATGTCACAAAGAATCCTTCCTAATGCCTCTTACTTCAAAAAAAAAAAAAAAGAAAACATTTTTGAAAATGTTATTTGTTTTTAGGTAAAAGATGTTGAAAATGCAAAAAGCCATTCTATTTTCAACTGTTCTAATGGAAGATTTAAATTCCTGCTGACATTGGCATGTTGTATTGAATACAGCTTAAAGTATGGCTCCCTTTGCCGTTGACAAAACTGTGAACCAGGAGTGGGCACACCTATACCTTCTGTGGGTGTGGCACGTTTGATCAGCAAGTCTAGTGTTCATAGGTAGGGTGTCAGATAAACAAGTAGGGGAGCTGAGAGTCACTGTGGCATAGGATGAAAATCTGTCAAGTCCTAAACTTGGACTAGTTGCTTGTATTTGAGATGATGTACTGAGAGATGAAGGCCAGGGGGAGTAAAAGTAGATTAAAGAGGAAGGAGAACATTGAGGTCAAAAGAAAAGGTGATTAATGAGGGCAAAGTTTCCTTGAGCAAATAACATATTTGCTGATATTTATGTATTTATCATTTATTTTCTGCTCATCCACTAGAGGATACAAACAAACATATGGTAACATCTAGAAGGGAAATGTGAAATTCAGGACAAGGCAACAGTGTAAGTTATGTCAGAAGACAAATTACAATCGTTTTGAGTATAGTTCATGTACAGATTACAGGAACCACTCTAGCTACCTGCAGCAGAAATGTGTGTAATGCAGGGAAACGGCTACTTACAAAAAGTGTTGGGGGACTAGAGGAGCGGTCTCTAGTCTCTGCCACCAAGATTGATGGCCAGCACAACATCCAGGATGGGATTCTTGAGGGCGCTGCTACCTCTGTCTCAGTCAGGAAGCCATCTCAAATCTGTTGGCCCACAACGCTTAAGGCTTGCTACATCCCAAAACAGCTAATTCAGATACTACCAACCTGCTCACCCACTTTGATCCATTAGGGACTTACTCACAGTGTCAGAAACCCCATTTTAGGTCTCAGCCAAAGAGAATTCTCTCTACAAGGGATCTGCCCTTAGACCACAGACCATGTGTGCTGATGCACACCTCACAATGCAGCCAAGAGCCTGTGGTTGATGTGGATGTGGTGATATCATATCAACATGAGTACTATGAGCTCAGGCATTAAAGGAGAAGGACCGAGGAGGGAAGAGCAGGCACCAAATCAAATAATTTCTTTCTAATAATTTGTAAGTGACTAGTCCGATTGGACAGCTTGGCAATAGGCCAGTTTCTTCAGAGCCTCTTTGACCTCTCTGTTCCTTAGGCAATAAATGAAAGGGCTGAGAGCAGGGGTGACAATAGCATAGAAGATGGAAATCACTTTGTTCATATTGAAGGCATGGATGGCTCGGAGTCTGGCATACATGAAAATCGTGGCTGAATAAAAGATGGTGACCACCACAAGGTGGGAGGCACACGTAGAGAATGCTTTCTGCTTTCCGGTGGGCATGTGCAGAATGGTGGCCAGGATGCATCCACAGGACAGGACAGTGATAGCGAGGGGCAAGAGAAAGATGACCAGCGCCAGGATGAAGTCCACCAGCTCAGCTACAGACACGTCTGTGCAGGAGAGGTTAGGTACTGGGGAGATATCACAGAAGAAGTGATTGATGACATTGGGGCCACAGAAGCTGAGGCGAGAGATAAAGTAAATCTTACCCAAGGAGATGCCAAAGCCAATGGCCCAGGAGCCAAGAGACAAGTGGAAGCGAAGCCCGTGGCTCATAATGGTGGGGTAGTGGAGTGGACGGCAGATGGCCACATAACGGTCATAGGCCATGGCAGCCAGGAGCACACATTCTGTGCACATGAGGGCAATGAAGAAGTAAAGTTGTATCATGCAGTGAGTGAAGGAGATACTGTTGCTCACAGACGAGAAACTAAATAGCAACTTAGGCACAGTCACAGAGATGTACCAGGTCTCCAAAAAAGACAGGTTGGCCAGGAAGAAGTACATAGGTTTGTGCAGTGGCCGGTTTTGCTGCACCAGCAGGATAATGACCACATTTTCGGCCACTGTCAGAATATAGGCCATGAGGAACATCAGGAACACTGCTACCCGCATGCCCCAGTTCCCAGGGAACCCCACCAGAATGAACTTGGTGACCTGGGTCTGGTTCTCCACTTCCATATTGGAGATACAGGACTTAGCTCTCCTGGGGGGAAAAAATCACTTGGTCAGAGTCCATGGTCCAGTTAGATTCTTCCATCCTCTGCCTTCTCTGACTAGCAATAATAGTAACATATCATTTATTCATAACATATTATAGGCCAGATCATACACTGGGTACAGTAGGCACTAATGTAATTTAATTCTTACATAGCTTCTTTACATGTTATTATACCCATTTTAGTGATAAGGAAACTGAGTCTCGGAAAGACATTAAGCAACTTACCAACTTCCCACTGGTAACAAGGCAGGAATCACCTTGAAGTCTTCGTCCAAAGCCCATGCTCTATTCTACACTGCCTTCACAACCACCCCCAAATTAAACAATATCCAGTCTCCATGTTCTGTGTTACCACTGCCAGTTCCAAAGGATATGCATAGCGCTCCTGGCCCATGTGTACACAGTGCTTTGGAAGTTCTGCCTTATGACTCACTTGCCCCTCACATACCATTACATGCTTGCCCTCCACCATCATGGAGATGGAGTGCAGCTGTCACGAGCTAATGATGACAATCACGTGAGGTACGTGAGCGCTGAAATCAGGAGAGTTAGGCTTTCTGTGTTAAAGACCTGGACCTCAGTCAAGTGCCAGGTCTACCCCGGTGTGCTATATGACCTTGACCTCTTATCCTCTCTGAAACCCAATTTTCTCTTCTGTAACGTGAATATTAATATTCCCTCAGCTTATGTCGCCGTGGATCAAAACCCAAATTAAAAAATGTGAATGAAAGTTTATATGAACTGTAAATGACAGCAAGTGTGAAAGGGGCTCTGACCCCTTATTATTAGAGGAAGGGAAGCTGGGCTAACAGGAGGGAGGAGAGGAGGTGCTGTGAGCCAAGCAGAGTGGGGATAACACAAACACGGGCTTTGCTCTCAGGGAGCTGCAAGTCCTCACAGGTGGGGCTGGGAGTCTCTGGGAGGAGAGTCTTTAAAATAAGCAAACAGGGCGCCTGGGTGGCTCAGTTGGTTGGGCGACTGCCTTCGGCTCAGGTCATGATCCTGGAGTCCCGGGATCGAGTCCCGCATCGGGCTCCCTGCTCAGCGGGGAGTCTGCTTCTCCCTGTGACCCTCTTCCCTCTCGTGCTCTCTGTCTCTCATTCTCTCTCTCTAATAAATAAATAAAATCTTGAGAAAAGAAAAAAAAATAAAATAAAATAAGCAAACAAAAAGACATGCACAATAAAACTTGAGACATTTTCTAGGAAGGTTACAGAACAGAAAGTGATACGAATGTAATCAGGGAAGCTCACTTGGACCTCTGAGGAGGTGACCCGGGCAGAGAAGGGCTCCAGGGCCCCAGTCCTTTGACTTGCTGAGGAGGGACAGCACTGCCTGAAATGGGGCCACCACCATGTGCTGTGGTCTGTGAGGTAAGGGACACAAGAGATGGGAAAAGCAGGCAGCCCTGGAGGTCATAATGAGGGCTCTGAATGGCGACCTCAATACAATGAGAAGTATGAGAAGGACCAAAGCCCGGTAGGGACAGAGTATGGTTTATGATTTACGAGTGCAAAGATAACTCTGTCAGTGCACAAGCCTCTGGAAGCAAGAGTGGTGGGGAGCCTGGTAGCAGGCTATTCAGAGAAGGCGGTGGTAGCCGTGAAAACAGTGGTTTCAAAGAGGTGAGCAGATTTCAGATGCATCTTAGAAGAATCTTTAATGGTAATTGATGGGTTGAAAACAGAAGACAAGGGAAAGAGAGAAATATAGGAGGACTCTCAGATATACAGCTGGTGACATGGAAGGGACACCATTTACTAAGATGGGGAAAACTTGGGAGGCTTACAGGCATTTTCCTCAGAGTTGAAGAAATGGCAGTGAGGTAGGGTTGTGTTTTGATTCGTTTTAATGTGAAGCTTAAGCAATCAGTCCAGAATATTCTCTAATAATAATTTATTGAGCACTTACTAGCTGCTGAGAAGTTTGCTCAGTTCTAAATACTTTTCATACAATATCCCATTTAACCCACAAAACAATACTAATGAGGTATTGTTATTCTAATTCCCCAGAAAACACTGGTTTAGACAGAGTAAGAAACATTTCCAAGTTAGAGAGTGATGAGATCATCCTGAGAGCCAAACTGAGAGCTGTCTGAGAGGAAAGGCATGGCCTGACCCCCTAGGCTGACATACAGATTTGAGGCTCATCACCACCTTGTTATATTTAAAGCGTCTGGATATTTTAGAAAATATCCTCTAGTTCTACTGAGATTTCATTATAGACACCAGTTATTAGACATGAACCCAAATTTTTAAAAAATAATAATATTACATATTCAGTGACACACACACACACAAAACCAGAAATAAACATGTAGAAATGCTTAGTAACTGTATCAGAGAAGAGGCAACCATTGGACTAAGACTTGAAAAATAAATACGTGAGAGGATGAGACACTTTAGGCAGGTGAAACAGAGCGAACAAAGACACAGGAGTATGAAACAGCCTGACATTTTCAGGGAAGCAGCTAATCAAGACCTATTTGCTGCATGCGTGGGAAAATTATGAGAGAATGAATGAGTAGAAAAGGGATGGAGAGAGAGAGAGAGAGAGAGAAACAGAGACAGAGAGAAATAGTGTCAAAGGCAAGATGATGGAGCCCTCCATGTGAAATACTAAGGCATTTAAAAATTGTCCTGTAGTCTAAACAAAAAATAGTTGCTGAATGTTTTCAGTAGCTGATAACATCCTCATACTTCACCCTGGCTTTTGATGCAGGGAGATGGATTTGCATGGGACAGAGCTAGTAAACCAGAGATCAAGAGACTAGTTGGAAGACACCCTCATAGCAGACACTTGAAGATACACAGAGAGCAGTCACCCTACTTACAATGTTTGTTAAAGAAACAGAGTTAACCTTTAGACATACCTGTTCACAAATTACACAAGTAACTGCATTCCTAGAGGAAGCTCGACTCCCCACAAGTTCCCAAAAAAGAAGAAAAAAGATTGTCCTATTTCTCAACTAAAGGAAGAGTATATAGGCACTAATTATGGATACTAGTAAGTTGAGCTGGCCCTATTTATTGTCAATGTATTATTTCACCATAAATTTGTGACCTTTTACTCATAATAGTTCCTACTCCATGAGAGCGATCCCTCATAGCAGATTTTTACCACTGATTTAGAATAAAAATTTTAGCTTCTTCTCCACTCTTGTGCCTGCTGTGAATGCACTTTCCCTTAATTTTGTTTGGATTCTGTACAACTGTAGGCTTCAGTAATTTAAATTTGATGAAAACATAACCTCTGTCCCTGCCAAAAGTCCAGTGGTTTTGTAACCTCCTTCGTAAACGAATTACTGGGAGGAGGCAGCTGCATAGGGACCCCAAGAGGTATGGACAGGATCTGCAGGTTGGGTTGGCGTCAGAATCTGGGGTGCCTATTTCTGATCCAACACCAAGAGATGTCCCTCAAAAACAGCAGGCGGAGTGTGTTCTTTGCTCACTGCATGCCTGGCTGTACTTTACAGTATGACAGATGGGAGTATCATCCTGACCCATTGATGGGAATTGGGGGTGAGTATAAGAGAGGGGCACAACGATAGTGTTAAATATTTAGGATTTAAACATTTCTGTGCCATGGGAGTCTGAAAGGGAGCTGCCTGCATAGTTAGCAAGTGATGCTCTGAGAGGAGACACTTACCTTGGCTCAGCAGCCTCTGCTGGGGTGGAATGTGAAAAGAAATTCTTCACTGATTCTAAAATAGTAAGAAGTACAAAAGAATGATTCAGGTACTGAATAGATGTGAGGAACCCACTCTCTAAACCTACAAGTAAATGGGCACAGATTACCCAAATGCTTCCAGACTGAGAGCCAGGACTAACTGAGAGGTGAGTCCCAGGCTCTAGGATCACATCTGTGCCTGATATGTCACCAGGCTGTCTCTCCCAGCACCCCAGGGCCAGAGCACCCATTGCCTTCCTGGTGGAAGCTGCAGTGGTCTTAGACTCACCAAGCTGTGAAGAGCTTTGGATTCTGAGGGCTTTAAATGGTATCAAGACTTTCTCTACATCTCTGCCAAGACCCAGGAGAAAAGTACCTTGATGATGGCAGTAAAGGTCTCTTGTGGGAACCATGAGAAATTTCTATCTGCTTATTGTGGCAGTCTTATTTGTTGTGTATAATAGTAGTTCCACAGGGGGGAGAAAATCCACTTACGATCACACACTTTGAAAAGAACCAGATTTGAATTTATTCTTTGTTGAAACATGAAGAAAAAAAATGACTACTTTTACATCTCTTTGCAGATTTTCAATTATTATTCAATCTTCACGTTACTTAAAACAAGATGATCAATCAGTGCTTCAAGGGAGACAGTAGTACCCAAAGTAGACTTATATTGCTACACTTCAGTAAAATTTTTTTTTAATTTTATTTATTTATTTTAGAGTGGTGGGGGGAGGGGCTAAAGGAGAGGGAGAGACTCTCAAGCAGACTCCATGCTGAGCATGGAGCCCAACACAGGGCTTGATCTCACAACCCTGAGATCATGACCTGAGTCGAAATCAAGAGTCGGTCACTTAACCAACTGAACCACTCAGGAGCTCCACTCTTCAGTAAAATTTTAAATAACAGTTTTTGTTTTAAATGCTTATGCCATAATTGTATGCCAAATACATTTATCATGACGTGATCATCCTTAGTTTGTCAGCTGCCTTTGGGAACCCCTTGACCAATATTTCACTTTCTGAAACAAAACTCTATTTTACTAAACATCACTTCTCTGCAGCCTGCTGAAATCTTAAGTAGCTTTCACATAAAGAAAAGTTGTCAAATTCACTGTGCCTCCATGAAATGGTAAATGGAGATACTGACAGCTATAAGCAATTCAGTCTGCAACACAAGGCTATGGTAATTACTTTTTTTTAAAGGAAATGATACATTTTATTATTTTAATTTTAAGAACATTCCACTAAAAGACTCATAGCACTCTTTAACATAGTTTCCTTATAGG